GGAAGGGGGGAGGATGGAAGCAGGGGGCACAGGGAGGAAGCAAAATCGAGGGGCCCAGGGGCCAGATCCAGCCCCAAGATGAGGGAGGCAAAGCCAAGGGCTTTATTTCTCTGATAGATGCAGATGGGGACAGCCCCACAGCCCTCTGAGTCCCTGAGGGAGGGGATCAGAGGCCCAGAGGGCCGGCGGGGGGGACTGGGGAGCCTTCGGCCTCATCCACAGGGATGACAGGCTCGAGGAAGAGGGTGGAGAATTTGCGGTCACCAAAAGCGGCGTTGAGCCGGGCTTCGAAGAACCGCTGCAGGCCCAGGATGGACTGAACATCCGCCTTGTCCTGGGGAAGAACAAGGGAGGAAAGAGGGGTGAGGAGGGTGCTGAACGCCCCACCGCCCCCCCCCTCCAAATGCCACCGCAGGGGTGCCCCACACCTCGGTTAGCTGGTTGAACTGCCGGATCATCCTCCAGACGTCGCAGGCAAACTCCTCGGGGCAGCGGTAGTGGGGGGTGAGCTTCTCCTGCAGCCTGGCGCGGATGAGGGTCAGGTCGATGGCGTCATGGTCCTCCTGTAGGAGCGAGTGAGGGATCCCGGGGGGCGGTGAGGAATCCCCCCCACTTTGGCTGCCCTGCCCTGTGCTGCGAGACTCACCGGGGAGCTGGAGAGGCGGTGAAGGGGCCGGCAGGGATCATGGCAGAGCAGCTCCAGCAGCACGTACTCACATTTCTGCAGGGATTTAAAGGGATCCCTCGATCCCTTCATGTATCACCGGATCCCTGATCACCCCGCCAAAACCCCGTACATAACCTGCTGGTCCAGGGGGCAGAGTTTGTGGGGTGGCCCCTCCTTGAAGCCATCGACGAGGTCCTCACTGGGGGGTGGCAGGTCCTGGCACAGCAGACACTTCCACTCGGGGCTTTGGGATCAGGCAAAGGGATCAGGTTGAGGGATCAGATATCCCCCTCCCAGCTCGCACAGAGCCTCAGGGATTGGGGGCCCAAGAGCTCCCCAGATGCCTGGGATCAAGGGGGTGGGACAGTGACCATGGGGATCAGGGACAGTGGATCCCACAAGGTTTTGCATTGGTGGGGGGATTCCCATGCGGACCAGGGCCAGGCAGCCAAGGGTCAAGGCACGGGGTCCACAATGGAGAGGGGATACCAGCTCTCCAAGGATCAGAGAGACCCCAACTGATCCAAGATCAACGTGTGACTCTCCCCGTGTACCACACCAGTAGATCCCTAGGGGATCTGTGTTGCTGTGTAGGACCCCAGGCGAGCTGAGGACTTACAAGGGATCCAGCAGGGTCAGGGGCAGAGGAGTAGAGCCCCATGGGGCTCAGACAGCTCAGGTTCTCCCAGGATTTGGGATCAACAAGTAGATCCCAATGCAGATGAGGGCCAGATTCCAGAGGATCAGGGCTTGAGATGCCCTCCATGGCTGGCAGAAAGCAGACCCTCGGAGCTGTGTGGTCAACAGCTTCACAAGGATTGAGACCAGATCTCCAGGGATCATGGGGCAGTCCCTGTGCAGATCTGAGAGCTGGCCTGGTCCATAGGACTGGAAGATCCGGGGGGGGGGAAGCAAATTCTGGGGATCCAGTAGAAACCAAGGACAGGTAAACCTGCATGGCAGCAACTCCCTCAGGAGGGATTCACAGATCCCAACAGATGCCAACAGATCCCAAGGGAGAGACATGGGGTAGGGTCAAGAGGCTCCCAAAGCTCCACAGTGGCCAAGGACCTCTAGGCTGGGGTAGAACTGTATCTGGAGTGGAGGGGCAGATAGATCCCAGAGTGATCACTCAAGGAATCTGGTGGCACCAGAGGATCCCCCTCAACAAAATCAGGAGGGGTGGGCAGCAATTCCACCCGTCCTGGGACAAGGAAGTGGTAGATCCTATGGGAGATGAGTGAATCCTGTGAGAGACCAGCAGACTCCAAAGATCTGGTGGCTCCACATGATCTCTGAAGATCCAGGAATAATCCCCGAGATCCTCCATGATGCCATGGAGCAGTAACCCCCAGCAAGGGGGATCCCAGGGGAGAGCAGTAGATCCTGATGGATCTAGCAGTGCCAGAGGAGCCCCAAGGGGGACGGTGACCCTCAGGGACAGGAGATCAGTGGATCCCAGGGATGTAGGGGAACACAGGGAGGTGACAAGAGGCAGCAGATCCCAGGCTGTCCACCAGATCCTGGGGACCAGGCCTACCTGGGGACCTCCTGTAGGGCAGGGAGGTGACAATCGAGGTGGTAGCAACGGTCGCAACGGTCGCACATCACCACGGCACCGGCCTGGCAGCAGACACGGCAACAGGAGACACCGGGGGCGGGGGGTGCTCCTGGGGGGACAGATCCCAGCCCCAACGAGGGGCCGGGGACTCCCGGCACCCTGGGGTGCTCAGGAAGCAGCCCCACTGGCTTGGTGTCCTGGGTGTCCCCGATGGCCGCCTCCTGCTGCTCCTCCTGCAAGGGGGAAAGCAGGGTGAGACAGAGAGACCGGGAAGGAGGCAAGGACAGACAGAGGGACACCCACCTTGATGGCGAGGGGCACGGGGGGCTGCGGCTGCGCCCCCCGCTCGATGACGATGAGGCTGAAGTCCTCGGCCGAGGTGCCGGGGAAGACACGGAAGACGGGGGGCTGTGCCGCTCCCGACAGATCCAGGTCCAGCCGCTCCAGGCTGACCCGTGGCACCTTGTGGAGGAGGGCACTCACAAGGCCCCCGGGCGGGCAGCTCCTGGGGGGCACAGGGGGGGCTCAGGATTTCGGGGAACCCCCCTAACCCTCCTGGGTAGATTTGCGTGGAGTTTGGGGTGCTGGCAGCCCCTGGTCCCTTCAGAATAGGGGTGTCAACAGGGAGAGGGCCCCAGCCACCCCACAGCACAAGGGGGACAAGGGCGGGGGACCCCAGCCACCCCCGGCCACAGGGGAACCAGGGGGGACCCCAGGAACAGAGTGACAAAGCTCAGGGGAATGTTGCGTACAGGGGGGCCCAGGTCACCCCCAGGCACAGGGGGACAAAAAGTGGGGGGGACCCCAGGACCAGAGTGACAGAGACATCCCGGACAAGGGAGCCCCAGGGAGGGTGTGACAAGGGCGGGGGGGGGGCGACAGTTGGCCTTTTTTTCTGGGTGGGTGTGACAAGGGCGGGGGGGGGGTCACAGTTGCCCCTGGACAGAGGTGACAAGGGTCGAGAGAGCATTGGGTACAGGGTGACAAGGGACAGGGGATCCCCGGTCACCCCTGGGGACAAGGACAAGGGCTGTCCTAGTTGTCCCCAGGTACAAAGGGACACAGTTACCCCAGGCCCGCAGCTCCACCTTCCAGAATGGAGGCACCTTAACTCCCCATCCCCCTCATGCCCAAGCCCTCATCATTACCGCTTAATGGGCAGCTTCTTAATGAACTTCTCCTCCTCCCCAGGAGGATTAACGTGTTTTCTCCTGTATAACGAGGCTGTCAGGGCACCTTGGGGGCCCCTGGGCAGCCCCCCTAGCCCCAAAATTGGGTTCCTCCCAGCTGGAAGACCTGCTGGGATGGAGCCCCACTAGCCAGGGATGATGACGGAGACAGTGGCCCTGTTCCTGTCCTCCGTGCCTGGGTTTGGAGTGACAGGGGACATGAGGGACTGAGGCCACCTCTGGCTATGAGGTGACAAGGGTGGGGGGAACCCCAAGTATGGGGTGACAGGGCATCCCTGCCAGCCCCTGGACATGGGGTGGCAAGGGACAAGGTCCCTGTGTGTGGTGCCAAGGGACAGCACTAAGCCACCCCTGGGGGCAGTGTGACACGGGTCCCTGGTATGGGGTGACACAGGACAGCTACGTAGGAGGGCCAAAGCCACCCCCAAGGTACAGGGTGACAAGGGCCAGAGCCCCGGGGACAAGGGACAGGGGCTTCCACCACACTCACCTCTTCACTCCTGTGACAGCAGCTTCGAGGGGGCCATTGGCTGCTGAGAAAAACCCACATCAGGGGCCTTCCTCCCCCGCCTCCTCCTCCTCCCCCCCATGTCACCTCGTGTCACCTCCCCACTCACCGAGCTCAGTGCCTGCAGCCACAGCCCCGGGGCTCTCGGCTGGCTGCGGGTACAGGTGGCGG